CACACACACACACAAACACATATATATGCCTCTTAGGCTATGCAATAGAGATAAATAATATATACAGAACCTATGTAAGTAAAATTAACACATTTCAAGACTTGAGGAATACCAATCTGTAGTACCTGACCAAGGCTGCCATGTGGTGTCAGGAAATAATGATCGTCAGGGACATCAGGTGGGTTCAGCACATTATGAAAAAATATTGTGATCGAGTCAAAGTAAAATTGTGGTCGGGGTGAATTGTGGTCCCCGTCAAATTTTATAATGTTTTTGTCTCCCTGCAGACACATTAAGACAAACCATACCATATGTTACTATCTTGACAGACAAGAAGTAATTTATGTTTCATGCTGAATGGGGAGGTAGAAACTTACAACATATGCTTCACAAATTTTGTCTGAATGATGCGGGAGTATAAAATCATCCTCAGTTGCATGTCCAAACAAAGCAGGAACAAAACATCGCTTTGCTACCTGAAGGGTTTACGGTCAGATACCAAACATATATCCATAATTCTATACGCTGTCAAAACAGAATCGCATTTAAGTTTTTAAAGGATATCTCCTACAGTAGTATAGTTCGCATAGCTCTCCCAGTTTTCGATTCAGCTTTGTGTTCGTCGATAAGACCGAACTGTACAGAATCACATTCAATAAGCTTGCACTATGCAGTTGGCAATTGGAGTAGGAACCATCATCCTTAGTTACCAGATTCACGGTTCGGTACTTTCTACTATAATCGAGTTCGATGGGGGGTATACATCCCTGATTCGCGAATTCCGAAACCAATTCATGAATCAGTTGACTTCTATTCGCTAGCTCTCATTCGTTTTCCAAAAAAACGATCTAGTAGATGAAAAAAAATACTCATACTTGAAAAAAGTTAAAAACACCCTGGCTGTTGGTGTATGAGGCCCAGTTATGGCCCAGTAACCTTCACGTGACCTAGCTCCACTTCCTCTTCTGGAATAAAAGAAGAAGCTCCACCCAAGTGCTTCTATTGCTTCTGCAATTCTTGCTCTGCTCATGCCATAGACGGAAAAAATACTCATACTTGAATAAAAACACCCTGCCTGTTGGTGTACAAGGCCCAGTTATGGCCCAGTAACCTTCACGTGACCTAGCTCACTTCTTCTGGAAACAAAACTCCACCCCAGCGCTTCTATTGCTTCTATAATTCTTGCTCTGCTCACGCCGTTTCTATTCGTCTGCTGCTTGCGTTCTTGCTCTTGTTTCGGCACATCCTATAGCCAAGCTATTCCGCTTCTCCATGTCCTTAAGCTGCTACACATCTCTACTTCTTTCACCAGCAACCAGCAGGCAAAGAAAAATATTGTATGGTGGCCAAGAGCTGCAACAGCGATGGAGGACCGACGATAGAGAGCCCAGGCGCGATGGTCGTCATCTTTCATCTATCTTTTCTCCACCTACCTTCTCCCTCCCAGCCAGCCTCCCCATGGCGCTCACCCTGTGATCTCATTTTTCTGGTTCGCTTGGGATCGCAACTCTGGCAACGAATTCTGTTCGGAACCAACAATCTCAACCCTAATCTAGGTCGATCGATCTAGATCGGGATTCGAAGCCAGTCCCACCGAATCCAGTAACTATGCCGTCATCTACTTCCTAAAAGGAAATGGTTCGCATAATTTCCCCAGTTTCCTATTCAGCTTTGTGCTTGTCGATAAGACCAAACTGTGTGAAAACCAATCTAGTTGTCTGAGCTGTACTATTATTTACAAGAGCAAAACAAAGAAAAAGCTTGTGAAATCTCCAAGCAGCTAATAGCAAATAAAATCATGTGTATTAAGAACAAACAATATCAGTATCCCCGGTAACTCAAGATCAGGGCAATAATAAACCTGAATGGTATCAAGATCCATGATGTCAAAGCTGGCTTTTTTCTTGACAATCTTCCGCATGTGCTGTATTGCAAGTTTTACCTAAACAAAACAAACAGAAGCTCCATAATATATAAGATGGGATATACCATCTGCAAATATGCATCAAAGTTGTGGGAGCATATCTAGAACAAATAAAATTAACAGAAGTCAAGCAACACATGTGGAATTATAATTACAAAAATCAGTGGTCACAAACTCTAACTAGGCAGTCACAAGCGCACATGAACTCATGCATAATTTGAATTAAATTTTAAGTGACTCATGCTCATTCATCACTGGAACTAACTGTATTGATAAACAACAGACAAAGTAGTCTTTTGGATAAAAAAGATCAGGAATGGCTCCATTAGGCTCTTTGAGTAGCCATGTTCAATTATAGAAATGGTGCTATAAGGTGGGTTATGTAGGAAACAAATTTGCAAAAACACCATGCTAAAGCGCAAGCTCATCAACTCCACTATTCCCTGGGACGACAGCCACACATACACATTGCTAGTAACAATTGATAACCGATGAATCCCCATCATCAAATTATGCTTACCGTGAATTTTGGCAAGGGGTATTTGTAGGTATCAACTAGTTCCATCATCAAGTCAACAAGGTTAGAGAATGGACTATCAAGAACCATTCCAGCAATTGATGGATCCTCCGCTCCATACATTAGACTGAAAGAAAAGAGTCCAGACATTCTGAGTAAGTTAAAATTTAGAGTGTTTAAGTATGTACATGTTCCTACCCGCACGAACACATAAGAACATAAATACAAGCAACAATATTACACATGGGTATTTTAAAGCCTACAAGCACATGAAGCCGAATATTACAGAGGAATATCATAGAGCATACAAGCAAACTAAGCTGAACAATAGGGAATCGTGATTAACTAATTTCTGACCACTACAGGAGAAAATGATGAGTTCATTTCAACATACTGAACACACCTTGTGACCGCACCCATTGAGCGGCCCCACAGAGCAATGCAAGATATGTTCCCATCTGTCCGCAAATAATTAACAACAGCTTTCAGATCTTCTTTCTGTATAAAAGAAAGCGATATCAGCATTGTGTCTTCGGAAGCAATGAAAACGATTTGATTTAAGTGCCTCAAGAAAAACTGAGGCGTTGATGGCCCCGAGCAGAAAATGAGATAAATGAATAGGTGGTTCAACTGGCGTAAAGGAACATTTACAATCAGTCCAATGTGAAGGTTAAAAAACTGTCTTGCTATAAACGGTATATACTGCCATTAATCCTCTGCACAAAGTTTTAGATTTCACTAACCATCCATTTCACTGTTATGACAGATTTTAAGATTATCTATTTCTGTACAAAGACATAAAATGCATAACAGATTATTATGTGTTATTTGTTTCTCAATTTACCTAATAGCATCTGAACTAACTGTGCATGTACAACATATAAAAGCAAACAGAAGGTTTCAGAACCATGCGTCATTTTTTAATCTTCTATCTGCATAAGGCAAACTCACTTCATTCCAGCCCAAGGTGACATGCTCTCCTTCAGAGAGACCAGACCCTGAAAAGTCCAGTGTAAAGACTGTAATATTTGATGGTAGAAGAATAATGGCAGCTTCACTAGCATCAGCTCTGCATCCACTGGAAAATAAATAACACAGTTCAATTAATCCTAGCAAAAAATAGAATAGACTATCTTACCAAATATTTGTAAAGGACTAGAATTGTGCTTTATTAGTAATAGGTGGAAAGGCATTTTGCCAAAACTGAAAAACAAGCCTATTAAGCAAAAGATAATGTGTACATATACTCTACCTATTTCCATGACAGTATATAACACAAGGAAGTGCTGTTCCTTCAGGAATCACAGCAGGTATGTAGTGGCTACACTGCAACTTCTTGCCCTGGCTATTTACTACCTGAAAAAAGGAGACTGCATATCAAATATATACCATGGCAAGCCACATAAGAAAGCAAAATTTACCTACACAAGCCGAAAGCCAATGTCCATTATGTGTAATCTATGTCATCTGATAAATGACAAAAAAGCTAGCAAGCCAATTTCAGATTATTACAGTACACCAGGAAAAAACAAATGCAACAAACAAGACAGCAATACAAATGCATAAAGTTGGGAAAGATGTCATAAGATATAATTCACACCTGAATAGATACTCCCTCCGTCCGGAAATACTTGTCATCAAAATGGATGAAAATGAATGTATCTAGAACTAAAATACATCTAGATACATCCATTTCAATGACAAGTATTTCCGGACGGAGGGAGTACTATAATCTCATGTACATTTCTTATACATCACAGAATCTAAGCACATAGGCCAATTAGAGACGAATGGTAGCCAAATTATGGATTTTACAAAGAATTTCTTTATTGGAACTGAAAAATTCAAAATAGCACAGAAGGGCAGCCCGGTGCATGTAGCTCCCGCTTGCACAGGGTCCAGGGACGGGTCCGACCACTTGAGGTCTTCTGTATGCAGCCTTTCCATACATTTCAGCAAGAGGCTGTTTCCAGTACTCGAGCCCGTGACCTCATGGTAAGAAAGCAACATCTTTACCGCTGCACCAAGGCTCCCCTTCGTGGTCTTTATTACCATATGACCAAAAAATTCAAATGGAAAACTACATGTAATTATATATATCCTAGATCACCCACAAACTTGTTACGCATTGGCTACCTATAATGAGCCACATCTAGTGGCCCAGATCTGGCATCAGCCTAGCAGATTTCCTGTTTATCCCTTGCATCCTACTTGCATTGTTCAAAACTGAACCTGCCTCACTTGTTAAATGATTCCAAATTAAACACCGTCTTAAAGAACGACCATGCTATTTACATCTTTAATGCCATTGATAATGGAATCCAAATTTCCATTCATGATTTTTTAGCAGACAACGAGGCCAACAGATTGTATTGAGTTTTTCTGGCAATGAAGATGGAGGGTTTTTTCTAATGTGTATAGCGCATACAAAAGTAATATAATAGAACAAAGGAAATAGGTTTCTGATGTTTCTGTTAATCTGTTATCACCGTAACACGGAAATATAAAACATATATAACCTCCAGATCCTTCCTCTGAAACCATCTTCCCTTGAGCATAAACTCCTGCTCCAGTAGATCATCGTCTGGACTGTAGTCAGCTCTGCAACGCAGGAATGTATCAAGTAGGTTAACAGAGTATGGACCATCAAGTTAGGGAGTTACCTAAAGAAGCATAGCTACTCATGTTCGGCTAATGAATATCTACTGTAGCCCCACATCAGACTTGTCTAACTCTCGGTAATAGGAAATCTAGGAATTTTTGTATTTAGGAGAATAGAAGAGTAGCTTGCTGAGGTGGAATGCAAGCACTACTTAAAAAAGCATAGGATAGAGTTCAAATGCCACAGTAACAATTTCGTGAGCACAACACCACAACATTTGCAGGCAGGCAGCCACTCAAGTTCATTTGTATGTAACCTAAATTAATCACCATCAATCTGACCAACCGAACTGCTAGTGCCATCTACATCACTAGCGTAATGCAAAAGCCAATGACGAATCTACCTGAATTAGGGGACCGCGTCAAGCAATCAACCTACCCCAATTCAACGACAGCAAATCGTATGGGAGGCGAGCACAATCGGCGGCGCAAGTCCAGCGAGCCGAAACGACGCACCTCAAGCCCGCGCGGCTCAGATCCAAACCTACGCCTACCGAATCGAGACGGTGGGGCGGGGTGGGGTGGCTGAAGGAACGGAACAGGGGAGCTCACCTGGGCGGGCGGATGATGAAATTCACCAGCTGGTCCATCGGTTGAGAGAGAGAAGAATCTCCGGGGAGAGGGAGAGGTGGAGGTTGAGGGAGATTGGGTGTATACGAAGCAAAGCAGGCAACTCTGCTCTCTCCCTCTCTCCTCGCTCGCTGGCCTCCCTCCCTCCCTCCTTCCCTCTCTCCTCTGATCGCTTCTGATTTCTCCCACCTTCTCCCCTCCCCTAACCTCCGTCTTTTTAATTGATGAGATGATGGTGATTAATTTACTCGGGTGCCTTGAGTGGGGGTACTTGCCTTCCCCTACTCCGTTCCCCGGATGGCTGTTTTTCAGTTTTGACCCTCTCTTCTTTTTTTTTCATCCGATGAACATGATCATTTCCAGGGCCGGGCCGGGCCGGGCCATGTTTCGGGCTGGCTCAACAAAAACCAGTTTCAAAATCCCAAGCACGGGCATGGCCCGAAACACATGACTAGTGACATTTATCAATTAAAATGATTATTTTCTCATCAAAAAATTGAAATGATTATTTTTAAGATATAAATTATCTCTCTCTAAAAAGAACTTAATGTTCCCCGTACCGCTCCTTCGTCTGTCCTCCCCATTCGTACGTCTTGTTGGTGCAGTCTTGCCTCTTATGTTTTGAAGATTGTTGGACAAAACAGTGAGGGACTAATGGGTTTCCTAGTGCACACAGAGAAATATGGTCCGTAGAATATTGAGGAGTTTGTCATAAACACATGCAATAATTATGCGCGCGACAATGAAGAATGCTAAAGCTATCAAGGAGATTGCATGTTAGAGATGACCCTCCAAAATATTGTTAAGTCAAAGCATTTGCTAGGTGCGACGTTCAGGAGAAAACGAGTGCGGGAGAGAAGAATGAAGATGAAGTGGAGACGTATTTTTCTTTCGTAGTTGCATTATCTCTATTTGAGTCATAATACCGGGGGGGTTCAAGTGATTTGTGACTTATGGCTGTTGATGCTTAAGAGAAATATATCTCAGGTGAGTTGAGAGAACTCTTCGTCGTGCAATGAGTTATTACTTGTTAGCCAGAGACGAAGTTCTTCTAGGTTGTGAGAGAAATGCTCTAGCAGTGGAGTCGGCTTTACTTATTCCTCAAGTAACTTGGTTGTATGCTATTGAAATTTTGACCAGTGAAAACATGTCGGTTGGCCATTAGTTGGGCCGCAGGCCCGACTGGTCATTGCTCCCTCGGGATTGCTCCAGCTATAAATAGTCACCCCGCACCTATTGTTTTGGTTGGCTGCTTTGTTTGATTTCTGACAAGTTTGTCTAAGCACCCCTCTCTGAGAGATTTGAGCTAATACACTAAGAGAAAACCCCGGATCTGGTTGAGCATCATGTAGATCTAAGTTGAGAGTTCTTGAGCTTATTACTCTTGAGAGTTGCACACTCTCAAAACGGCTAGGAGCCAAGTCTTGAACAACCAAGAGTAATTGTGGGTGTCGAAGTCAAAGTCTGGTGAAGGTTTGGAGATCGTCGAGAAGTATCTACCACGAGTAAAATCAACTGAAAATCGAGGACCTTCACATTGAGGAGAATAGGGCGGAGAGAGGTTTGTTCATATCACTACAAAAAAAAGAACACATCCTTGATGATATTTGTTTATCACAGTATGTCACGCTTTCTGTCACACATGTACATTCATGAAGATTTTATGACAGAATCAAGATAGTCATACCGGTGATGTCGGGGAAGTGTTCCATGACAATAATCCATTTATTATCACGGAAGTATTCGTGATGATAAACAGCGTGTCATGGAAGTGTTTTCGTCAAGGGTGACTGACACATGGCAGTTGTTTGAAATATGCCCTAGAGGCAATAATAAATTGGTTATTATCATATTTCCCGTCCATGATAAATGTTTATTGTTCATGCTAGAATTGTATTGACCGAAAACTTAAATACATGTATGAATAGATAAACTACACCATGTCCCTAATAAGCCTCTACTAGACTAGCTCGTTGATCAAAGATGGTTAGGGTTTCCTAACCATAGACATGTGTTGTCATTTGATGACCGAATCACATCATTAGGAGAATGATGTGATGGACAAACCCAACTGTGAGCTTAGCATCAAATCGTTTAGTTATTTGCTACAACTTTCTTGATGTCAAGTATCAACTCCTTAGACCATGAGATCATGCCACTCCCGGACACCGAAGGAATACTTTATGTGCTATCAAACGTCACTTCGTAACTGGGTGATCATAAAGGTACTCTACAAGTTTCTCCAAAGGTGTCCGTTGGGTTGCGTGGATCGAGACTGGGATTTGTCACTTCGTGTGACGGAGAGATATCTTTGGGCCCTCTCGATAATATAACATCATAAGAAGCTTCATGTGAATAATGAGTTTAGTCACGGGATCTTGTATTATGGAACGAGTAAAGAGACTTGCCGGTAACGAGATTGAACTAGGTATGGAGATACCGATGACCGAATCTCGGGCAAGTAACATATCTCCGAACAAAGGGAATTGCATACAGAATTGACTGAATCCTTGACATCATGGTTCAACCAATAAAGATCTTCATTGAATATGTAGGAATCAATATGGGCATTCAGGTCCCGCTATTGGTTATTGAATGGACAGGAGTCTCGGTCATGTCTGCATGTTCCGAACTCGTAGGGTCGCACGCTTAACGCTCGGGAGCGTTAGCGTAGTATTGAGATATTAATAGCGGAAAGTTCAAAGGTTGCTCGGAGTCCCGAATGGGATCCCGGATATCACAAGGAGCTCCATAATGGTCCAGAGGTAAAGATTTATATATGGGAAGTCTTGTTTTGGCCACCGGAAAAGATTGGGGGCATAGCGGCAAGTGTACCGGAGGCACCGAAGGGTTCCAGGGGTCCGCCAACCCAGGGGACCCACGTGGGCTGTAAGGGGCGCCCTGGCCTAGATGGGCCAGGTGCACCAGCCCCCCACCTGGCCCATGTGCCTAGGGTTGGTGGGAACCCTAGATGGGGCGCCCCCTTGGCTTGGGGGGCAAGCCACCCCCATAGGGCGGCCGCCCCTCCTCCAAGGAGGGGCTAGGGCCGGCGCCCCCTCCCCCTTACCCCTATATATGCTGGGGGTGGGAGGGCAGCCGCACGCCTCTAGCTTTGCCCTTCGCTGTGGTACGTCTCCAACGTATCTATAATTTATGAAGTATTCATGCTATTATATTATCCATCTTAGATGTTTTATATGCATTTATATTATTTTTGGGACTAACCTATTAACCTAGAGCTCAGTGCCGGTTTCTGTTTTTCCCTTGTTTTTGAGTATTGCAGAAAAGGAATACCAAACGGAGTCCAATTGACGTGCCAATTTTTGATGATCTTTTATGGACCAAAAGAAGACCCCAGAGTAAAAGAGTTGGGCCAGAAGAGTCCCAAGCCGTCCATGAGGGTGGGGGCGTGCCCCACCCCTGGGTGTGGGCCCCTATCTCGTGGACGACTCGGAGACCCCCCTGACGTGAAACCGACGCCAAAAATTCCTATAAATACAGAAACCCCTAGAAAATAACCTAGATCGGAAGTTCCGCCACCGCAAGCCTCTGTAGCCACGCGAAATCAATCTAGGCCCTCTCTGGCACCCTGTCGGAGGGGGCCATCATCACTGGAGGCTATGGAGGAGGATCTCGGAGGGGCCATCATCACCATGAAGGCCAAGGACCAGAGGGAGAACCTCTCCCCATCCAGGGGGGAGGCCATGGAGGATGAAGCACAAGGGGAAGAACCTCTCCTCCTCTCTCTCGGTGGCGCTGGAGTGCCATCGGGAGGGGAATCATCGCCGCGGTGATCGTCTTCATCAACATCACCATCCTCATCTCTTTTACGCGGTCCACTCTCCCGCACCCCGCTGTAATCCCTACTTGAACATGGTGCTTTATGCCACATATTATGATCTAATGATGTGTTGCCATCCTATGATGTTTTGAGTAGATATCCTTTGTCTTTGGGTTGATTGATGATCTAGATAGGTATAAGTTGTATGTTTTATTTTAGTGCTATCCTATTGTGCCCTCCGTGTCGCGCAAGCGTGAGGGATTCCCGTTGTAGGATGTTGCAATACGTTCATGATTCGCTTATAGTGGGTTGCTTGAGTGACAGTCTGACAGAAGCATAAACTCGAGTAAGGGGTTGTTGCGTATGGGATAAAGGGGACTTGATGCTTTAATGCTATGGTTGGGTTTTACCTTAATGATCTTTAGTAGTTGCGGATGCTTGGTAGAGTTCCAATCATAAGTGCATATGATCCAAGAAGAGAAAGTATGTTAGCTTATGCCTCTCCCTCATATGAAATTGCAATGACGACTACCGATCTTGTTAACAATTGCCTAGGATAATTCCGCACACCGACCCATCATTATTCCACACTCGCTATTTATAATATTTAGTAATATATTCTAACTTTATGATAACATCACCTACTTTTATATTTTAGCTCTCCGATATCATGCGAAGTTATCCTCTTCATACCCACAACGTAGTTTTGTTTCTCGTTTCTAGTTGGAAGCAAACGTTCGGTGTACGTAGAGTCGTATCAGTGGTAGATAGGGCTTGAGAGAATATTGATCTTACCTTTAGCTCCTTGCGGGTTCGACACTCCATACTTATCACTTCCACCTTTGGGAATTGCTAGGATGATTCCCTGCACTTGGGGATTATCACGCCGCTCCCAGCTTCTCCCACCTTTCCTCCGGTACGCGCTTGGCGAAGCCCTGCCGAGATTCCGCTGCTGCCACCACCACCATACCGCCGTGCTGGTTCCCATCTCATTTACCTCCTATCCCTCGCTTGATGGATCAAGAAGGAGAGGACGCCATCGAGCTGAACGTGCGCTAATTTTGGAGGTGTCGTCCGTTCGACACTAGATTGAATTGGATCGCGATTGGATCGTGAAGAGTATGACTACATCAACTATGTTACGACGCTAACGCTTTCGGTCTACAAGGGTATGTAGACACACTCCCCTCTCGGTGCTATACATCTCTGATCTTGGGTGTCCGTAGGAATTTTTATTTT